ACTACGACACCATGAAGAGCGTAGCGGAGAACAGCGGCGGCAGTCTTCTTATAATTGACGGAGCCGGCGGCCTGGACGCAATGGCGAAAGAACTACGAAAGGGGCTTTCGAATGCGATGCGTTAGAGGAAGGGTGAGTGGGATCTCTTTAAGGTTTGTGTTTTATTTGGCCGATGATGGGTGTGTGCTGAACCCGCTGGGGCCGTTACTGAATGTCGTTTTATGTATGTTTCGCTGCTTTGTTGTGTAGTGTGAACGGTTGCCGTTAACAAGAGGTCCCTGCAGGCGTGCTAGGGCGGGGCTAATACTTATCTCGCATGGATGGAAACCTTGTTTGTACGCCTTCATGAAAGTGATGCTGAGGCGTTCTGTGATTGTATCGGAGTCTTTGCGGCGTGTCCGCCTGTGTCTATGTATGTGTCTGTCTCCACGCTATGGGCTTTCCCTCTGTGTCTCTCTGTCACACAGTGCGTCTCACCATCATTTGAGGCTGCGGGTTAACTTTTGCCCAAAGGGGAAAGGGAACTGGCTATAAGAGAGTGCCAGCCCGCGGTGTCTATTGCTTGCGTTTGTGTCTGAGTGTGAGTGAGAAAGCGGGTGGGTGCCTGCCACGCCCACGGGTTGCTGCAACCGGTGGATCACAGGCAAGTTGCAAAGAGGGAAAGCCATTCGAGAAGCACGGCGCAAGTTGTGCGCGGCCTCAGCGAATAAAAGATATATATATATATACGTATACGTATACGGATATATAATGTGGGTACCCCTGCCGCCCCAGCTGCGCGACATTGTAGAGAAGAGCGACATGCGAACAGCGGAGAATCGCGCCTTGCAGCTGACTTCGCAGCTTCTGCCAGCTGATGCCGACGGCACCATCCACTGGGATGTGTTTGAGGATTTCGTGCTCTGGTGCACGTGCTTCTACCTGAAACGCATCGCGGGTCATACTAAAGAGGCGCGCATGCGGTATACATATGTTTCTGTGTACGAGTCGTCGTTGTCATTGCGGGACGTGGAGTGCGTCAAACTGCACGTGGAGACACTCAAGTGTATGCGGCGGTACCCGGGGGCGCCTGTGGCCGACCTCTTTGCCGAGTGCCGCAGCAGCCACCGCGAGCAATTTGAGCAGCACCTCATCCAGCAGCAAGACGAAGAGCACAGCCATCGTGGAGGAAGGGATAATGGAGAGAGCGAAGGACGGGGGTTGGCCCAGCGACTCGCACAGCCCCCATGCCTGGAGCAACCGGAGCGACGCGGCTTTGCCGACGGAGTTGTGCGTGTGGCGCCGCCGTGTGCGGAAGAAGTATCTCGGACGATTTTGTCCCACGTGGCGAAGCAGAAGCTTACATTCGTGCTTTCTGGCACGATTGTGCGGCTGCAGCTGTCGAACCCGCTGCCTCTTCCGGAGAACGTCGCCACAGGCTACCGGTGCGACACATGCAACCGCAACGAGTTGTACGTGGCGTTCCAGGCCGTCCTGCCGGACGACGTGCGCAGCGATGCGGCGTTCTACGCCTCCTGCGAGGGGCTCGACATGTGTCTGGCGTGCGTGGTCTACTTTGTGCACGAGGCGTTCCGCGCGCTTCGGGCCGCACTGACGCCGCCGCACTACCGCTCGCTCGTGTCTGGCCCGGCGTGCCGCCTGCGCGTCTTCGGTGGCGAGCAGGACGGGAAGGCGGTGCGCGTGCATGTGGTTGTTAAGCCGCGGCACGCCCATCTGTGCGTGTGGCAGCTGCCGTACGCTGCCGCCACCCCCGATGCCGCCGCTGCGAGGCACGCGGACTTCGCGGCGGAACTCGCCGCTCTGCCTATGCCGCCGGGCGATTGGCGAACATTCTGCAGCATCACCGCCTGTGACAGGTCGGGAGAGCAGCGCGACGCGAGCGCGGAGTGTCCTGTGTGCCTGCAGGCACTTTGCGGTGCCGACGACAATGGCAGCAGCAGCAACCATGACGATAGCAGCGCGCCTCTGACGGAGACGGCGTGCCACCATTGGTTCCACACCGAGTGTCTCGAGAATGTGAGATACCACTCGAGTGGAGGGGATCGCTGCCCCGTGTGCCGCAACCCGGGGTTCATGCAGAATCTGAATGACGCCTGCGAGTACGACGTTGAATTTACACTGCGGGGGTCACGCAGTGACGCGGACGAGCCCGTGATGCACGTTGCCGTTGCCGCGATGCTCACGGCTGCGTACGAAAACCCCACGAACATTGTCGCCTGTGAAGTACTGCACATCGGATGGAGGGAATTGCGCTGAGAACAATACGCGCCGTCGTCCCCTGAGCACTACATGGCCCACGCATGCAAACCATTTTCTTCTAGCTCCTGTTTCTTCCTCTGTGTGTGTGTGTGCGGTTCGGCGGGAGGCGGGGAAGCACTCCTGTGTGGCGTCCTTCTTTCCTGCCGGGCAGCACTCCGCACACGCTTGGGTGCTGCTTCCAATCACGTCTCCGTTCTTTGTTTTTTCCCCCCTGTCACTCTAAACGTGGGAGCTGTGCGCTCTGCTCTCTCTTTCTCTCTCCCTTCGCGTCGGGTTTTTGGCGTATCGTGCACTTGCTTTTCGCTTTTCTTTCTTGTGTCCTCTTTGGTATGCGTGCTGACGCGGTAATGATACGCGACCGGTGTTTAGTCAGTGGGTGGATACACGCGCGCACAAGTGGACTAAGCCGCTGAATGCTGTTTGCTTTTTCACCTGTACCTGCTTCTGCAGTGCGTTTTTGCTTTGAGGAGAGGGGGGGGCTGCGTCTAGGGGGTCTCTGTGGAATTTCAATGAGTGTTTGTTGTTGCTGTTGTTATTGTTGTTGTTTTTTGCCTTTTGCTTGGCTCGTACGAGTCCATCTGTTGCGTACGGTCGCCCAACTGCGCCCTTCGCTCATACTGCAACTCACTCACTCGTGATGCGTCGGTTCTGCGGTGTAGTTGAGAGAGAGAGAGGCAGGGGGTATGGGAAGAGAAAAACAAAGCAATTGGGTGTTTGTGCTTCTGCCCCGTTTACTGTTGCAGGAGGTGCTCGGGTGTGGAAAAGCATGGGGCTTCGGATAACGGCGTGGCACCTCATTTCGACTTTGCGACGCGTGTAGGGGTGAGACGACGTGTGGCTCTCCTTAATCGCTGCTGGTGTTCGCTTGATGCGGCGACTACATTCTTCCCGCGTGCCGTAGGCGCGATGGATGTCAACCACATCTGCGATGCACTTCGCTCACTGGCCCGCGACGCACCGAAGCGTGGTGCCAGCGGCGGGGAAAGGGGTGAGGCATTGCTCGTAGAAGTCGCCAGTGGGCATGCTGGTGCCCGACCGAATATCCGCGGTGGTCGCTTCGGCACCAAGAAGAGCCGCAGGTGGAGGCCGTGGCACAACAACTGCGGCCCATCCGTGCGGTGGAGTATTGTCCCCGCCGCCCCGTCAGTCGT